AAAAAAATTTTAAATTTAAGTAGTATAATATAAAAAAAAATTATTTTTTATTATATAATTAAAATAAAAAAAATTGATAAATTTAATTGTGGTAATAACTTCAGCCATGCAGTAGCGGCTGAGAGAGTTCGCATTCGCGATAACGTTGTGGCCATATCCAGACCTCAGCCACACATTCACTCATGCGTGTCACCATCAAAATCACTATCCCCTGCTTCCTACTACTCGTAATATCTGCCTATTTTGGAGCCAAAACCAACCACAGAGCCGAAACCAAGGACTACCTGAATTTTACAGAAGCAGACGTACGGTGGAATGGCAACCTCAATGATGGCTTCACTGAGCTTGAAACCGTCTCCGTTCATCGTCGAGAAATCGGCCGTCAGAGGCGTTCCTTCTCTTGCCCGGAGCAAGCCAAGGACTTTCAAGATCGAGGCTAGCGGTAAGAAGCTCAAGACCGACAAACCTTACGGTGAGTGAGTTATCATCAACAAACACTTCAGTTGATTCCGAAGGATTCAACAATTTATTTACTCAAATTGGATATATGATTTTGAGTCCTTTTTTTTAATTGTTTTAATGAGTTGATAATTAATTTGAGTGCAGGAATCAACGGCGGCATGACCTTGAGGGAGGGCCTCGATGCCTCCGGAAGAAAGGGAAAGGTTGGTGTTCTTCTTTCTTATTGAGAGTTCTTCCTTCTATGGTTAAAATTCTATAGTCTTGAAAGTTTACTATTTTTAGTCTGGTAATTTGAACTTCAAAAAGTGAAAATAAGAGCCTTAGGTACATCGAAATCTCATTCAATCACTAGATAGATAAGATTTAAATAAATTTATGTTGTATTTCACTTGTTTTATAGTTATAATTGGATATCTTAATATTTTTAATACTAAACATTTTGTTTTTCCGCAATCTCTTTAAAGTCTACTTGATTTGATCATTTTCATGTAGCGGAGTGATTGAAATCAATACAAATGAATATGGGATTTTCTTCAAAATTGGAATCATTTTAAATGTGAATTTCATTCTGTGGATTCAAAATACCCCTCTGCCCCCTTTTTTTGACTAGTTCTTGAATCTATTGGGCTGATATTTTTTATCTTCAAACTAAATTCAGGGAAAGGGTGTGTACCAGTTCGTTGACAAATATGGAGCTAATGTTGACGGATACAGGTAGAACTTAGAAGATTGTCCTCAAACTCTATGTTCACTATCAATAGATGACTAGGGTTATATGTAACAAAAGAAAAAAAAAAAAGATGACTAGGATTATGGTATGGAACAATAGTACTCATTTAGTTTCATCCTATATTTAGCATGTGTTCTACATGCACTACTTTCAACAAAAATTATGCTAATCACATGGTAAAATCTCGATCACATATCATTTTAAATGAGTATATTCCTTTGTTTCATCTTTTTGGTTATTCCTTGAAAATGAGAGTTGTTAAATTAGTTACGTGATTGCAAAGGAATTGCTAATATACTGTGGATATGATTTATTTGCAGTCCCATCTACAATGAAAATGACTGGTCTCCAAGTGGTGATGTTTACGTTGGAGGTATGTAATTCTTAACAATGAAAACTTTTAAGTTCGAGGTTCACAATCTCATTATTCAATCTTTTACTATTGATTCTTTGATTTATTTGTGATTTACTTCCAATGAAGGTCCTACTGGGTTGGCAATATGGGCTGTTACCCTGCTTGGCATCCTTGCAGGTGGTGCTCTTCTCGTTTACAACACAAGCGCTTTGGCACAGTAGATATTGTTACTTTAATCCTGTAATCTGTAATGTATTATAGCCTTGTCTATTGCTACTCTCTTTAACAATATATTTTCAAAAGCTATTTTGGATATCCTTTTGTGTGTAATGTTTTTGCCTTTGATTGATTCATGGGTCTTTTTAGCTTCTAATATCCTTCTGCATTGCTGTCTGGCTCTATTCTTCTCAAAAGAATAGGGTAATAAATGTGTTTATCACAGTTATCTCCATACAAAGAATATATCAAAGATGTTCTTTCTTCGTCGGTCTTCTTCTTCTTCTTTTCTTTCTTTCTTTTTTAAAATGTTAAAAGCAAAAGGGAAGAGAATCAAAGATAATGTTGTATCCTGCAGCTCAATTAAGATAATGTACGTTTCTTTGGACCAAGTTCAAGCCCCTCTTATTCTATCCCATTAGTTAGTCTTTGTTAATAAAAAAATTGGTCAGTCTTTAATGATGAGCTAATGGCGGTCAAAGGTGTAATATAGACACCATCAATTGAATGATAAAAATGAACATATATGATATAGAATGAAGTTAATAAACAAAAAAAAAAAAAAAGGGAAAGTAAAAGAATTTAAATGAAAAAATACTTTGTATAATGATGATAATAAGCAGTTTTTTAACTTACGAAGATTTTCAATGGCCCCAGCAATTTAATTTTGGATAAATTTCCTTATTAATTTCTAACCTTGATCGGATTAGGCCTAGAGGCCCAATGGCACTTGCCATTACAAAGTGCATTTCCCCTCTTCGGCGGGTTTCAAATCCGCCCATGTCTAAAAGTTCAAAAAAAAAAATTTCTAACCTTTATCAAATAAGATATCTTGGTCTCTCGTTCTTATTTTGAAACCTTTTACTCCCAACTTATTTTGTAAAAGAACATTTATAATGTTAATTTGGTATGATTTATTGAGATACTCACTAATAGGACTCACTAAATAGAAAAAAAAGACTGTTTTCTAAATTTATTTTTTATAATATCTTATAAAGTTTAATCTTTAACATTTTGTTAAATTAATCTTTCTAATCATGTTTTCATAACAACTAGACAAATAATTTAGGAGTAGGACATTTTTAAAGGTTTTTTAAGTCTCAAATGCACAAAGAAATTTAAAAAGGACTAATAAATTACTCAAATTATACAAATCAGATTTATTCAGGATTATGGTGTTAATGACTGACAAAAATAAAGATTATTATTTTAACAGGTTTTTCATAATTTTTTTATCTAAGGGAGGAAAAAGTTTAATCCTTAGACTAGTCTAAACTCCAAACATGAAATTTAGCTCAAAAATATATTTCAATTGAAATGTTGGGCCTAATAGCTTCCTTGAGGAATCTACAAATGTAGTTTGTTTACAATGAGTTGAACCCTCAACAGAAGAATGAAAAATTTAGTGCTATCTAGAAATGAGAATAAACGCAATAGAAATATCTGTTCCATGTCACTGAATCTCTTCAAAAACATTTTCATCTTGATAAGGCTGTGATGAATTCTTGATGTTAGGAGAAGTCAGATGGATAGTGCCATCAGTTATCTTAGAGCGAACTATCTGCATAATCAAGTCAGAATGAAGAAGATTATTATAAGGGCAAGAATAAGAAAAAGGTAACTCTATATCTATGATGATTGCCATGAAAGCAGTCTGTCTAAAGGCTGAAGGGTACAGATGTAATGAGAAGAGCAGAATCAAGTAAACTCAACATGCTAATTGGTTCCCATTACATCAGTTTGTATGGCCACCACTACACAGCAAAACAGCAAGCATTTACAGCATCATTACAGAAAAAGGGTGTGCGTTACAATTGACCAAGGTTTAATAAATAGCATTATAAAAATAGACATGAGGTAGAAGCAAACAAACCTTCTCTATTTCATCATGAATAACAGGATTGTCTCTCAAATATTGTACTGCTCTATCTCTGCCTTGTCCCAACCTTTTACAAACCAATGGAAAACAGAAGAACTGTAAGACATATTTCAGTCTCAAAGCTAATAGGCACATTGCCTCAATTTCTCACAAACTAGAATCCAATAGCAGTTAAAATATTAGATGCCAATGCCATACTAGCAAACTTTTAGAGCTTAAAACAACATACATCTTGGAACAATGATGAAACAAATGAAAAGCAGAAGGCAGAGATATGTTATTTATTTAATTTATCTTTGTAGTTAACCTTTTTCTATAGTATGTGATAATCATTTATCATAGTTGACATTGGTAAAATACAATAAACATTCAACAAAGCAAAAATACCTATGGTCCCCATAGCTGTACCAAGAGCCCTTCTTTACCACTACATCCATAGCTTCAGCAGAGTCCAGAATGCATCCCTGTTGGTATACTTCAAAGTCAGAATAAAATAAAATAACTCTGCAAGGATAGAGGAATGTGAATAATTATATTGCAATACCAACCAGTTTAGAGACTCCCTCTCCAAATATGATCTCAAACTCTGCTTGCTTGTATGGCCTTGAAACCTAGCAAAACAACCAATTAGTTCTGACGCAAACACCAGCCAGAATAGAAATACAAGCAGTATCGGATAAGCAGCGCGACAGGTATCATTCAGTTCTAATGAAATTCTCCATGAATCTAAGATATTGTTGCTAGCAGTACACTCAAATCATTCCACAACCAAATATGTAAGCAAGGTTTTGACTTTGGAGATGTAATGCATTTTCAGAAAGAACTGGTTTTCTTAGCAAATCCAATTCCAGAATGATATTATACTGCTGTTTATTGAAGTAATGCCAGAGTAAAGCTGAATGTCATATTGTCTTTTATATTGTAGATACTCCAAGAATAACAAGTGCAAGGTCAAAGAAATTTAACACCTTTGACTAATATTAAATGCAAAAGAAAGATGGTTATTCTTTCTTTTTCTCCTTTCATCAGTCCACTGCCTGGATTACCCCAGGCATATCATAACAATGGGAAGTAACTGCCTTCTTGTCTCCACCCCATCCTTCCCAACACTAGATGACACCATTCTCCTAGGATACTGGAAAGACATATCTCCCTTGCATTTTACATTTAGACAGGCTCATAATTGTCTAGTAACCATCCATTACAAAACAGAACTTTAGCTCAAATTACTTTTAGAGAACACTTCCAACATATTTAACATCGAATGTGTGGCATAATTCTCTACCTTACTCTTTTGCACTCTCACTCGAACCCGAACACCAATATCTTCATCTCCTTTAACCTAAAACAATGAGAAATAAGTCATCATAATGATTTCATATTGAAGAAGAAACAAAATAGGAATTAATGTTGGGCAGTCTAGCTGATATAATGCTTACAGATTTAATCTTCCCAGTAGGACGTATTTCAAGACGGACAGAGGCAAAGAACTTCAATGCAATTCCTCCACTAGTCACTTCAGGGTTCCCATAATACACTCCAATCTTACAAATTTCACAAGAGCAATACCATCAATTGCTTTAAAGGGGGAAAGGGGGAACAATAAGAACTAGGAGAAGGGGGGGGAGGGGGAGAAGAACATGAGAAATGGAAAAACTCAACTAGAAAGATGCAAGAAAAGAAAAAGGTGTATAGAGATGTTAAAAACTGAATAATTAGCTGCATCTCTATTTCAACATTTGCAATTGCTTTTATACCATTTCTAGATATAATATACATAATCAATCAAAAGTACCTTATATCTTATCTGATTCAGAAAAATCAGGGTACAACCAGCTTTAGAGGCATTTCCTGACATCTTACGTAAAGCTTGGCTCATAAGGCGTGCTTGCAATCCCATTTGCTGCATCCCAATCTCACCCTATGCATCAAAGAAAAGAAAGAACAGAAAAGGAAAAAAGAAAGAGAAAAAGGATGCAAAGATTAAACATGGTTTAGCCCTATATTCTAAACGGAAAAGCAACTACTAGAAATGGAAAAAAGGAAAGCACACATACTTCAATCTCTGCTCTTGGAGTTAGAGCTGATACAGAATCAACACAGATAAGATCTACTGCACCAGATCTGCACATACGATCCGCAACTGAAACATAAGAACTTAATTAGTCTTGGGGATTAACAGCAGGCATCTAGATATATTTAATTTGATTAGCAAAAAAATTTCCACGTTCAGCAAAAAACCCTCATAAATAAGTAAAGGAAGTACATTACTTTCTAATGCCATCTCGCCATTGTCAGGCTGGCAGACAATCAAATTTTCTACATCTACCCCCAAAGCTTTTGAATATGCTGGATCAAATGCATGCTCTGCATCAACAAGCATTGCATTGCCACCAAGCCTCTGCAGATTATCATAGAAAACATATGGGTCTGACAGCAGATATTATCATTTTGTTTCTTTGCCAGAAACAGATATTGAAATTTCAAAGCCTTTTCTTTTCTAATAAATCAGAAACTAAAAATTGCATAAATTTAGCAAAAGCAAAACCTGAACTTCAGCAATTGCATGGAGTGCTAGGGTTGTTTTCCCACTACTTTCTGGTCCAAATATCTGTAAGTAAAATACAGGTGCAATTAAGCTGTGAATAAAAAGAGAACATACGAAAATGACAACTGGATTTCAAAGTAAAAATGCTAGAGTGTTCTTGGGTGAGCAAAGGGACTCAAATTCAATTGTAAATGGTATACTGTCCTATTTGTCTTTAAAAATGAATATGGTATACTTGAAATTTGAAGCTGCATAAGGCTAGGCAATGGAAGCATACAGAAACAAGTCACATGGTTTAGAGGTTGCATCATAATAATTTGAGAGCAAATATTTATTAGATCTTCGGTCTCACAACTAGCATACAACACTATGAAGATGTCTCTCCCCTTCAAGCTTCAGATGAGTTCAAAACATAGAGACATTTAAAAGGAAACAACTATAAAGTTATTTTTCTTCTTCACCATATTTAAGAGGAATATAGGAGAGTCTAAAACAATCAAATGAGAAGCTCAGGAGCCAAATTTCTGAAACTAATTAGTTATCAAATGAAAAAGAAACATAGGAACAGGCATGATTTTATGCAAGGACATTACCTCCACGATTCTCCCTTTTGGAAGGCCACCACCCAAGGCCAGATCTAGTGTCAAACAGCCACTGGGAAAAGTTTCACTGTGATGGACAAAATGTTACAGAATCAAGTCAGCCTCTAGTCCACAGTTGACAATAAAGAGGTAAGAAAGAATTCTCACATGGTATTGACATAAAGAGCAAGTCAGCATTCGGGGGAAGGGTGGGGGCTATGGGACCTAGAAAGACAAATAAAAGATATGAATTTATGAGAAACGAACACATACACCAGTGCCCCTCCCGCACTGCCCAATCTTGTAACACTTCCTTTTCCAAAAGAATTATTTATGTCACTCATTGCTGCCTCCAATGCTTTTTGCTGAAACAAAAGTGCAATTACATTTAAGAAATGATGTAAGCCTACATTAAATTCACATTCAGAAAGAGAACATAAATGTAACCATATTCCATAATGCAATTTTGAGATGATCACCACACTTCCTTTTTCTTCCTGTTTAGTGATGAGTACTTCAAAAAGACATGTCTAGGGATGAATATCCAACAGGAATGTTTGAGGCTCTATTACTATTAGTGCACCTTTTTGTTTCTTAAATCAAAATCCTATAATAATTACTATCACATCTGATCAGAATTTTATTAGTTCCTCAAGTTTGCCTGCTTTTTCTCAACTTTTGGCACGTTATTAACAAATTCATGCTTCCACCTCCTAGGCACTAAATCAGTCAACAACAAACACCGTCAAAAACCTGGCCCAACAGTCCACATTTAACGCAGGCCATTGATGTACACCAGGAATGAATCCAACAATACAACTCAAGGACAAACTATAAAGTGAGACTAATCAAAGACTGAAAAGGATTAAATTTCAAATCACATTTGATATTTCCATCAGTTAAATAGCTTGAATCCCTTGAGCTATTTAAGAACCTTAGCAAGAAACAAGGACTAAAAGATACTTTCCAACCCAAAGTCATTGAAACTATGATACTTTCCTCTTACACAGAACATTTGTGGTACAAGTCCCAGTAGCCTTACTATAATTAGTCACCATGACTCCATTAGTTCACAAACACAAAATCATGGGACAAGAGGAAGTATCTCTTAATGAAGTACCATCACTCAAGATAATATCAAGAACACCATTTGACTAAAACAAAGTACATAACAACTGACTCTTGAAATGGGCAACAGGCACTTGCTCAGCCAAACCCACAACCACAAAATCATTTCCTTGAGGATATCCTTCCTCCAAAATAAACTCTTCCAATGAACAGGCATCCTTGCACAACACATATCCTCCCAAATTATTAGGGTCATAGAACGTGTAAATGCCAGTTTATATGTCTACAAAAACAGCGAAATAGAGCTTACCCGGTCGAGGAAGCGGGCGTCGGAGTCCATAGAGAAAACCCCATTCAATTTCCCATCGAATTCGCAATGGATTCCTTTGACCCGTTTCTTGACTGCAGCCAACTGCGAGGATTTGAAGGGTGGAGGAGAATATGGGCATTGAAGAGCAGCAAATGACGAGTGCGCTTTGGAATTGCAAGCGAAATAGGAGGAGAGTTTCACTTTAAAAGGTAAAACTAGAGAACTCATGCTGCAACGAAAGGATTAAACACCAGGAGCAGGAACAGGGGAGGAGAAGAGAGGAAGAAGGAGACGATGAGGCAACCAAGGGGTTTTGGGTTGTTCGCGGGGGTTTATCATTGCGCGCATTCAGCCATTTGTCGAGTCTTTTCTCATTTTCTGCTAAAAACTCTTCCCCCTTTTATTTCCTTTACATTTCCCCCCTCAAACATTGCAGCAAGAGAGTTGCTTTTCGGATTGAATTGTAGTTAATGTTAGAATTACAGATATTAAAATATAATGAATTAATATAAAAATTTTTTTATTAAGAATATTTTAGTAATTTTAAAATCAAATTACATTTTATTGTACCATTTATTTTCAAAAAAAATATTTTTTTAAATAAATTGAGATAAAATTAGTATTTTTTTAATCAAACTTTGTGTTATGTTCTTAGTTCGTATTGATTTAAATTGTAAAACAGGACAATATCAATGAGCCTAATTCCTTATTATTATTATTATTTTGAATAAATTGAAATTATTTACATATATTAATTGAGAGAAGATAAAAGAGTTTTGTGAGGTTCTGAACCACTCTAACACAGAATCCATGCCATTGAATCAGAATAAACTGTTACTTATTAAATGGTTAATGTTTTACCATTTCAATTAATCTCAATTGTAAAATATTTTTTTATTTTTTTATTTATAAATAGATAAAATAATTATTCTATCTTTGGGATTAAATTGATAAATTTTTCTTGTCCGACGATATTCCAACCAACCAAAAGGTTTGATTATACTCTAGGAATACAATAAAAATTAAAAAATGATTTCCTTTTGAACGATGGAGAATTTAGGGGATGAGATATTGATATATACAAATTTAAAAGTCGAACTCAAGCTCTGCAGCTTAACAGACAGTCGCTCCTGGTGCCAATTAGAAACAAATTAAATTGGAATAAATTTGTAGGATGTAAATGAGCAAGTTTTAAATACAAGAAGGCTGGAGGAAAACTTGACCTCATCAACTCTTGGTTTATTAGTAGTGCTATAAATTACTTAATTATGGTTTTGTAATGTTTGTAGTGTGCTATATATACTTATAGGTTTTGTAGTGCCAACTTTACACTTCAAATTAAAAATATTCAATTTAAACTTTCATACGAATGAGAAAATTTTTTTTAAATGTGAGAATTATGCTTGTCATATATTCCATCAAGTTGAGTATTTTTGAATATAGGTCAAGAACGAGTTAAATTTATTATTTAATTTGAAAATTTTTAAGATACAGTGTTTTTGAGTTAATTTTTACTCTAATACTTAAACATTTATATTTAGTATCTAATCTAATAGGTAATAGGTAAGTTATTGGTATATACTTGTATATTTAGCTTAGGAAAAGAAGAGATCTTATAATAGTTAGCATCACTTATGTATTATGTATTTGACTTATAATTTATTATTTCTACGAGTTATTATTGTTATTATTGTTATGTATATAATTTCATTAGCTTAGAGTTTATTTTTGTATTTTATTATTTTTATTTTTAAAAATCATTGTTATTATATAAATATAAAATATAATAAATATATATAAAATTTTAATTGTACATGTACATATAGCAAGTTAGTTATATAAGTTAATTAAACACGTCGAGTAAACAGTTCTAAATTTTTATATTTATTATTTGATTTAATATTTACATGTATATTATTTTTATTATATTTATCACTTAGTTAATTTTTTGCAATTCAAGTATAAATATTTATCCAAATAAATAAAATATTTATAAATAACATGTGTATCCGTAGTCAATGGTCACTCCTAATTTCATACCGAATGTAAAAGAAAAATAGGACGTGTAGAGCACGGCCATAAGGCCCATAACGAAGGAACAAGTAGAGCCTCTTGTGGTGAGCGAACCGATCCATTGCTTCTATTTCCAGTGGGCTTTTGCGGCCATAGCAGGGCAGAGACATGGAAGTAAAAGATGGCAGCCCACTTTTTCATTCAAAAAATAGTTTAGCCCACTTAATGAAAGCCCAATTTCATGTTTTTAACTGGGCCCATCAACAACGCTAAAAACCTAATGCACCCAATTATTTTCTTCCATCTATTGTTTCTCTTTCTTTGTTTTTCTCCCTTCTTTTTATTTTTTATTTTTTTTTTAAATTTTTTATACGTAGATAGCAAACAATTATAAGCGGGCCCATTATGGTGCAGTACAACATACAATCAAATTATAAAAAACCTAAAAAAGACCCACAAATACGATTGTTGAATCCACAACTTTAGAGTTATAGGACCTCAGCCTCAAAATTCACAACCAAAGACTTCATTGACTTATTCATAGTTCACGATCTTAACTTTCTAGCAATTCGCATATTCATCCTCTTCTTAACCACCACACAATTCTCCTCCTCCTTCATCTCGATGTAGAAAACGTTATTTAACCTAATTTTATTATAAAAGATCTTTTAAAAGCAAAGTAAACTAAATCAAAATTATATATAAAAAGAGAAAACAATATTCAAATATTAAGATTGTTTTTTTTTTTTAGTATTAACCTTTTAGTATCGGGTAATTTCATTGAATCTCGACTAATTTGAAATTGAATCGTGTCGGACCTCATTTGAGGGGAAATTCTCCCAATGACTGTTTTTTCATTCACAAGACTTGAATTTGAGATTTTATTTAAGAGGAACTGAATTTCTTCCACTCAAATTAACAAGTCGTTGGTAATATTAAAATTGTTTATAAAATTATTTAAATATCTTTAATAAATATTTTTTACGTATTTATTTATTAAAGCTATTTAAATTTTTTTGTTATCATTTCTGATACTTTAATTATTAAAATGTTTTAATTTTTCACAATCCTATTAGAAAGAGCCAAGATTATTTTAACACTTTCCTTTCAATTATTTTCGTTACTTATCGAGGTTGAAATATAACTTGGAAAGCTCGAGGAAAAATATAAAATGTTTACATATGCAAGATATGTGGCACTTAATTAGTAAGATAAGGTTAGAATTCTTGCTCCATTTCTTGGCCTTATGCAAAGACCAATTCAACAGAGTTGGATTGGAAGTTTGGTTAGATGTTGTTTTCAACAGGTTCAGGACCCTTGACATCACGCAAATTAGAAACTTAGAATCTACTTAGACTTTTTTGGCACAACTCACCAAAACCTAACTATTATTCATTCCATTGTTAATAGTATTTTTTAAAGTTCTTATGTTTTCAATCACTAGCACATTCGTGTGCCCATGATAAGGAAATTTCATTGACAATTCATTCTTCTTCTTGGAAATCATAAAAGAGATATGACTATCATTTTCTTTTGCATATAAAATCTCAAGAGTTTTGCTGTTCAAAAAAAAAAAAAAAATCTCAAAAGTTTTATTTTGTTAATGCTAAGAAAATCAAAAGTCCTTAACTAAAATTAATGGGTATCTTACAATTAGATAGAACCAACTAGAAAATCTCTCAAACTTTTCTTTTATTTTTCTTTTCTCTCTATATGTTAATATTAATAGGTTACACAATAAAATAATTGCAAAGAAACTAATATGAAATTGCAGGGAACTTACAAATAACTTATAATCAATTCCATTTAGGTTTCAATTTTGAGACAGGTATATGAGAGGGATTTATCTTATGTTTAAGTTGAGGAAAATGGAGGGGAGGAGAACAAAATTATATTTTTTTATTTCTCTCCATTTCTCTCCCCTCTTTTTGCATTATTTGAATAAATAACTAAATTAAAAAAATAAAGAAAATGAAAAGTTTCTTCTTCCCTCCCTTCTAATTTTTTTGATAATTAAATAAAGAATTTTTTCCCTCCTTTTTATTTCTTTCGATCCAAATATACGTTTAATAAATAAGATAAGTATATTTTTTGCTGTATAACCTATTTTTAGATATGCTAAAAAAAAATAAAATAAAGCAACTGGAACTAAAGCTTAGAGTTTAAGAAATTACTAAGCCAAACGCGTGTCCTCCGGTTTTATTAAGTCAAAGTAAATCAAATCTATAACCTGAGCTCATTAAGGATTTAGTATCTTCTCTTTGTGATTGTCCTTTCTGTTTGGCTGTTTGAATGAAGGTGACACTCACAATTAACATTTAACCCACACAAACCCTTTTTAAGTTTTTATTGGACAGACAAACCTGGCAGTTTCTTGAAGAAATATAAAATTCAAATATTTTTAATATCTTTTGGCAAAACAAATTTTTTTTTTAATATTTAATTTTATAATTAGTTGAGTAGAGAAAATCTCAAATTAGTTAAGAAAAGAAAGCAAAAATCAAAAGAAGAGAGACTGTTCATAGAATTGAAACTTTCAATTTGAATGATGTAATTTTATCAAATTATATTAAGAACTAACTATATATGCATGCATATGATTGGTAGGGTATGATCTGCACCCAATAGAACGTGTTGTGAAGCAAATTTTCATGCTAATTAGCTAGCTTATCGCTGTTAAACATTATATATTTGTTTTCGAATATGTGGTTATCGATTGATCATGGATGAAGTAATGGTATAAAGTAAATATTTTTATGTTTTTTCGGTGGCTACCTAGGTCTTCTTGTAATGTTTTTGAACTCTTTAAATTTATGTGATTAGTTTTACTTTTTGTGATAAAAAAAAAAAAAACCTAGTCTCTCATAATGTGAGGATTATTCCCACAAGTTGCTATTTAAATGTGGAAACATTGTTGTCCACACTCAAACGTCCAAATATATAAAAATATATATGATCACGTGTCAATTGATGTTTTGTGTCATTATATTGAATTATTGATTTTCTTTTATAATTTATTAAACATAATATCCCTTCCAATGACATGTACCAAAAATTTTCAAATATATACTACATAATCAATAAAATTTTTAGATTCCCCAAAAAAAAAAAAAAGTTATTAGATTCAAAATATCTTTCTTTTTGGTACATGGGAATGATTTAGCCGCCGAAAACTCATATAAATATAATTTTAATTCATTCATGAGACAGATTTTTCTTCTATATTTCACATTCATTCAGTTAGATTAAGGATTATACTCATAAGTTAAGTATATAATAAAACTCTAGCATCAGAAACACGTAGAATGGAAGCTTTCAGTAGGTTT